GACAATTCAAGTAACGAAGCATTGCGGCCATCGAGTGGTGTTGATAATGCAATTAGAAGTATTTCAGTCGAACGCTTTAAATTCATAATCGTTATGAATCAATGAACGAACATCAACGTGGTACTGTGCTGACGATTTAAAGCATAATAACTTCGCATATCAGAATGTATTAAGGATTGGATACGAATCAAAGACCAAGTGCCGTGTTGTGTAACAATTCAAGCATACGAGTTTGCATATTATAAAGTTAAGGTTTGATAGAATAGTTCGCATGTTTTTAATCTCTCTCTCAACAACCGATTGATTGCGTTACGCGTCGGGAATTAACCACAGGTGCCGCTATCGAGGTGAAACAACGCAATCGTGATGGTATCATGTTAACGCTGTGTTGAAATTCCAAAATCCCGAGATTGAGTTTTTATATTATCCAAAAATTAAAGTTAGCTAGAAATAAAATTGATTAAAGCAGAAGGTTTGTGTGTGATTCTTCCTGAAATTCTGCATAATATTGTTCTGCATATGAGATCTGAATCCTGGGGACCTATCATAAGCACACTATCACCACACATAATCCATAACACATAATTCATAATGTTCAATCGAGAGTAATCGTATCCTTATCGATAATACGGAATTAAAGAGCAGAGTCGAATCGACTCTCTGTCATTCACGCTCACAACGCCTGCGTCACTGCATACGATTAATTGCGTTATTCCAATTCATAACACAATCCTCGTCACCGAGGCTCGACCTGATAATCCATAACGACCTGCATTATCCTAACCACGCCCACTCGCATACATTAATACGATTATCTCTCGAATCAGCATAATTTATGTGCATAATTACACTGATTAACATAATTTCGGATAAATTATGCAAATCTCGAATTTCATTTAATTTTCATTATTTTCATCAATTTTCATAACACCTATATATACAACAGAAAGCCCAGGGCCAATTCAGATAATCGTCATGGTTTTGGGCGCGAGAGGAAATTGAACTCAGGTCGCTGGGTTCATAGCGCAGCACGCTAACTGAATTGTTTTTTTTGTTTTTAGTTTAGTTGGCATGCTGTACAGTACTTATTTCAGTTGTGATGCGTATTTTTGGTTGCCGTTTACCTAAACCCATTGTTTCGGTAAGGCTTAAGTATTGAATATCGCCGTTTTGGCTTTCTTGGCACATTCCAAGAACGTAACCCCCACGATATTCAAAGGTCTCCTGTATTTTCTGTTCATATACTACAGCACAGATGTATCGATTTTTTTTGTTCATCAGAAACTAGTTCTCTGCTTTCTTGATGTAATCAAGGCCTAAGTACCATTAAGAGGCTTCGGCTTTTGGTTGTTCATTGTTTTCGATATTCCTGCCCCTCTGCTCACATTCGTTAAGGATTTTTATGATTTTGGGCAGGCCCGGAAAATTCGTGACAAGGATTCGGAGCCGTTTCCTGTTCAAGTTGGCGTGTGACAGGAATTCCCTCTGGCCACAACCATTACGGTAAGTCCCCGGGTAGCGCAAGACCCTACTTACGGAAATCCAACCTTACGGAAATGCTCCCATAAATCATGTAAAAAAAATCAACATGCGGACATTTTTGCTTTAGTTACTTAAGCGCAAGTAGTCCAGCGCGGTGAGGTTGTGGATGAATAACGCTGAGCGAGGCATAAGGCAGGCGGCATCTTCCCCAAGGCTGTGGTGTATAGCTGCTCTGCACTCTCAGTCATGTTGTTACATTGTTACCGTGCGTTTCCTGTATCTGTCACATCGTCTCATAACTTTCAGTGTAATATCACCCTTAATTACATTGCAATAATTACTGGAAAAGATTAAGGTCAATGGATTTGTTGTGTAGCATTGCCTAATTATTTTTCTTTTGTAGCATTATGTAATTTTGGTTTTCTGTGCTTAGAACTATCTTGTTTTTCCATGTTTCTCTTTATAGTTTTGATTAGAAGTGTATTTAATAAGTTATTTACGTTATGTACTTTATTTAACACAATTGCACTTCGATTGCTTATGGTCTCAGCCGACAGCGATCTGAGAGGTCTCGGCCTAGTCTATGCCCGGTAAATGAATATTTGGAAGTGACTGTTTTCTTTTAACAATTAATATTAGAATGTCTTATGGTGTTCATTAACATTTGGATAAGTTTTTCTTCCATTAGTTTAATTATGGGTAGTGTTAGGGTAGATATTCGATGAAATGAAAGAATAATAGGAAGTGCAGAACGTATGTACAGCAATACGATACAGGTCGCGATAGAAAACGAACTATAGCGTGATACAGTACTGAGAGAAAATGAACGAGTAATTTGGTAGGGGCGGCACAACTTTCCGGCTATGGGATTTTGTCTTGATTTTGGGGGAAAATTGTTCAGTTCCCGACATTGGGAAATTCGGGTTACGGATTGTTCCCGGGAACCTAACCCTTCCATGACCCGTGGACTGTCTGTACATTAAGATGGCATCTTCAATATTTACATAGTTTTGATAACCTCACATTGGCCCTACAAAAATACATTTGGTACAGTTACAATGAGAGGCTATTCGATGGCTGGTTATAGTTAAGGGATCATTTCCTGCTGGTCAACCATGTTATGTATGCTGATCTGGCAATGGCTACTCAATGCGATGGAGTTAGGGACTCTTGTTCTGTACTTGGAGAATTTCATCATGAGGAGGCGCCTTACATATCTTCCAAAATAATAATGCACCTGCCTGGGTATTTCATGTCATCCAACATTCCGCCTGCTCGCCTCTTAGTAATCAGGCAGTTCTACAGGTGGTGGAGGAGCTCCCATACTTGGTTAATGTGTTGACAACCAGCTCTGGTTTGGCAGCTACAGTTTCAATTCATATTAGTCGAGTGCATTCTTTAATTAGACTGCCTAACATGGTGAGGAAGCTGCCTGGACCATTGCTCCATGTAAATCACTGAATCTTCTTGCCCACAACTATGACCCCTTTCTCTGTGGATGTGAAATATGGACTCCTTTAAAGAACCATCTGTGCTGGCTTATACAATTAAGGCTGGCCTGCCTATGATTCATCCTCTATTGAGCCAGACTTGATGGTTTTCGAAGCTTACAAATCCCTGAGATATCCATACAGAATATAATCAATGAGGCTATTTGGCAGGCGAGGATGCATTCGTTGGGCATGAATCCCGCATGCTCAGAAACTGCATGCTCAAGTAGCGTAAGTAAAATTTTGATTTAAAGCTTTCGTGACTGCAGTAATTCATATTCTTAGCTCTTTCTGTAAAGTTACGTTGAAGGGAAACAATAAAATATATATAAAACAATAAAAAACAATATTGTTTTATATATATTTTATAGATATGCTTTATATATTTTATTTTATTGTTTCCCTTCAATGTGACTTTGCCGAAAGAGCTAAGAATATAGCGTAAGTTAGTTCGGATACGAGGGACTAAACAGGTATGGCATGGGCTAGAGAAGAGATTGGAAGATGTGGAGGTGATCGGACTTGCTGATGACTGGTACCAGGAGTGTGAAGATTGGCCTCTGCGGTGGAGGTCCTTGAAGGATGCTGCAGTGTAGTTCGAGGCAATCGTCCTGCAACAATGAGGTCAGAGGAGTGACACATCAATGGGTGGAGCGCTGGGTGGCTAAAATGCAGCAAGTTGGAACAGTGGGTAGCACAGGTGGTGCATCTGCCAGTCATCTCAGTCATCCTTTGACACCTGGATCATTCCCATGACCTACTGGCAAGTGCTCCACACTTACATGGCCTCAATTCGCACCAATCATGGCATGACCACTGTGATGATGTTACTACCAATTAGTGGTGAATGGTGGCTGTTTTCTTGATATAATCTGTTAATGATCCATGTGAAACATATCTGTACATAAGAGTGTATCTATATGGGGAGCGGAGGCAGGTTTCTTCATTCACTGCATTATGGAGCCCACATTCAGAGTTGTATTATCGCTGAGAGCAGACATGATTGACAAGTGACAGCTTAACTTATTGTAGTCCTCTGCTGGGTTGATTGTTCCTAGGTTAAGTACTTGGTGAAGAGTATAAGCATCTAGCCAGGCATGGTTCTAGCCACAACACCACTTTCTCCGCTGTTCCAATGCGTGAGAGTGTAAAGTTTTTATTTTTGCTGTAAAGTATATTGACCATATTAAACACCTAGGTTTAATCAAAGTAATAGGTTTTTTTTTATTACAGGTGTAAAGAAGCTCCTTTTAGACATCCATTTTCAGGGAAGTATAGCTTTATTTCTCCAAACGTATATACAGTCCAAGTGTAACGACTGCCACACTCGTAATTGCTATGGCTATCTTCAGGGCCCGATGGTTTCCACCACATTGATACCTGAACAGTCAACCCTGATGATTTCCACAGTCGGCCCCAATGTCGTCCACCTCTACAGTGCCTTCTGGTCACCTGTTTACAATCATCACAACGCGCACCTTCTAGAACCCCCCTACACATGGAACGTTTCATAAGCATGGAAAAGACAGCACATGAAGCTGAAATTACATCTGTCCCTCCGAGCATTCAAGCAAATCTGAGCCTGGCTTCGGACTTACAAATTGCGATTGAATATTAATTTGTCCATTTTATCATATATCTGCCCAATCCGAATATTTATATTTTTAACACCATTTGCTATTTTTAGCAGACTTTTGCAATAGTTAACATTTTTTCAATAGCCAGATACAACCGAAATTCTGTATGTAGAGTTACGGGTTATCATTGATATTAAATATACTAGGGCCTCCAGGCATTATACTGACCACTTGCCTTACTATGCCAGGCCAACAGCTGATCGTCAATAGGAGCAAGTGCCATAAAACAGCCTGTGTGATAAATTTGAGGGTGATTTTTTTTATTTCTCGTTAATGTGTGAGTGTTCTTGTCCATGTAATATGTGAATATCACGTGTGACTGTATACATATGCATTTCTATGCTTTTATGCTGACATACATTGCGTGGATTTTACTGTTTTCTGTCTGCAGCTGCAAGTTCCTCTGCCACTTTGCTGGACAGAATTGGTCATATGGAGCAAAAACAATCAGCGGGACAGAAACCATTCAAGTGCACGGTGTGTGGGAAGGCGTTTGCACATCCATCATATCTTCAGGTCCACCAGAGAACACACACGGGAGAGAAACCCTTCAAGTGCACTGTTTGTGGGAAGTCCTTTGCATGGTCATCAAATCTTAAAACACATCAGAGAACACACACGGGAGAGAAACCCTTCAAGTGCACTGTGTGTGGGAAGGCATTTGCGGATTCATCAGCTCTTAAAAGACACCAGAGAAGACACACAGGAGAAAAACCCTTCAAGTGCATTGTGTGTGGGACGGCATTTGCAGAGTTATCACCTCTTAAAAGACACCAGAGAATACACACAGGAGAAAAACCCTTCAAGTGTACTTTGTGTGGGAAGGCGTTTGCACATCGATCATATATTGAGGTCCACCTGAGAACACACACGGGAGAGAAACCCTTCAAGTGCACTGTGTGTGGGAAGGCGTTTGCAACGTCATCACATCTTAAAATACACAAGAGAAGTCACACAGGAGAGACACCCTTCAAGTGCACTGTTTGTGGGAAGGCCTTTGCAAAGTCATCCCATCTTAAAACACATCAGAGAATTCACACAGGAGAGACGCCTTTCAAGTGCACTGTTTGTTGGAAAGCCTTTGCATGGTCATCAAAGCTTAAAACACACCAGAGAACACACATGGGAGAGAAACCCTTCAAGTGCACTGTGTGTGGGAAGGAATTTTCACTGTCAACATATCTTAAAAACCATCAGCGAGCACACGTAGGAGAAAAACCCTTAAAGTGCACTGTGTATGGGGAGAACGGTTTTCGACAGTTAGGGGATCGAAACAAGCATCAAACCATTCATCAGGAAATTAATCTGAAATCGGCTTGTGAAAGTCCAAGTGCTGCAATGAGTCCATCCCTCATGAAACAAGAACCAGAAAGACATTTGAGATGTGAAACGTGGACAGGAGTGAAGGCAAAATGTCAAGAAGTGAAATTGAAATTTGAATCAGTGAAGGTGAAAAGTAAAGTGACGGTAAAGTCTGAAGAAGTGATAGTGAAATGTGAGGATGAAGATTCAACTCCAAAATCCGACCTTCACGTCGATCGAGGCAGCGTTAAGCTGGAGGAGACTGTGGACTCTGAGGCAGAGCGAGGCAACCCCCAGCAATTTGTGGATGTGGAGGTGTGGGTGGATTTTTTAGGCAATACTGAGTTAAATGGAGACTAAGTATATGTGTATCATTGAGCTAAGAAAAACGAAGTTCCATTCCATTCACAGGCCTTTCCCACAATAGAGGTTTTTGGGTTAGATCGCGTAAATATATAAATGTGTCGTTAAAACCCGCCACCACCCGACACAGCCAACTAGTAAGGGTTGTCACGTAAAAAGAACATGCCAATTCATCACTAGTACAGCACACCGGTGTGTTGGAGAGCCAAGCCACAACATTTACAATCTGAGTGACGTTTCGCCAGTCATTACAACTAGCTTCATCAGGCGACAGCCAGATTTGTGGCTTTCCCATTGCAAGGGTTTAACCTCCAAGTGGTCAATAGAGGCAGCCTGAAACTGGAGGAGGCTGCGGACTGAGAGAGAGTGAAATGAAACCCAGCAGTTTGTGGAGGTGGACTTTTTGGAGGATGCAGAGTAGGAGCGGCCAGCATGTGTGGACTTGGAGGTTGGGTAGATCTGTCAGCAGGAGTAGTAGACAAAAAGGCTCCACAGCATTCAACGTGTTATAATAATATTTATATTAATAATTGGCGCTTGCATAAATGTGTTATTTCTTTCTCGCTGTACGTAGCCAATCTTGCTAATCAAAGGTGAAATGCTTCAGCAACTACAAGCGGCTTGTATCATATTTAATCTCAATCGTTCGACGGCTAGCCCAAGTGGCAGCTGTCCCTTTGTGGTAGAAGGTGACTCAGTACTGACCTGCACGTGGACATGCGCCTGCCAGTTTGGTGGAGCAATGATTGATGTGTAACCCCAGTCGGGTCGTTTGTGGCTATTCTTTCTAATCTGGCAAATTTTGACCCTGACACCATGATTGTTGAACATCCACTGTTAAGCAGATTTTTGGTCAATATTGCTGCAGTAATCATGAGGGCTGCCGGACAGATGTGAACTTTGAAACTCTTTTAACAAATATCAACCGTGCTATCACTTCTCGCATTCTAAGAATGCATGCAGGTGTAGTCATCCATTCAGAGATCAGTGTACAATAAATGCACTGTAATGTGATGCAGTTTATTTCAATTCAATTATTGAATGTTGGCGATGTGTCGCTTGATAATTTAGAGTTATAATTTTAACACATGATCTGATTCTGAGCATACACAGCAAAAGCTCTTATCCAGCATCCATGGGAAATCAAGGGTGGTGCCAGTTCATCAAATGTGCAGGTTGTCCGAGAGGTATACTTTATGGTTCAGCAAAATTCTCAAATGTAAAAACTTTTTTTACGAAGAAATTAAGCATACATTTTAACTGATATTCAAAATAATTTACTATTTTACAGAGGTACTCACCAGTCATTTGTACAACATTTTAAGTTTACTGTAGAGAAGCAGTTGTGCTGTTTAGATTACAGTGTACAGTAGTGCAGTACTGTATGTACAAGTACAGTGAAACAATTAGGTTAGGCAGCCCACAACACGATCACAATGGCCGATTACAGATTGCAATTGCGACTCCATTTGTGCCACCACTCAGCAACGTCATGAAGCACGCTGCAAGATGCCAGAATTTTTCTCGATATGTGAAGTTATATTTATATTGCCGCTTGACAGATGCCGGTTAATAGAGCATTCCGCATGGTAAAAAGTACGTGATAGCAGAGATTTTGCTGTACGTGCCATTTGGAATTAAATGGTCATAAATGGAATGTCCTAAATAGACGAACGTTTGTTTTGACAGTAACCTGTGCAGTACATTTACGTGACTGCTGTTCATGTGATACAGGATCAAAGATATTTTTTGTAGCTTAGGATCCATATCCCCCAACTCAATGTTTGTCTTCGAAATCACGAATATAGTACACACAAGGGAAACACTGAAATGTTACATAAAGGAGATATTTTCTCCACAACGCTAATTATGTTGTCTTTTCATACTTAATAAACGTGATTATTTGTCTGCCTGTCTGTCTGCTACGCCTATCTTAACTTTTAACTGACAAACTGTTGGTTTTACATTTCAACAAAGTACACATACAACAAACTAAGCCCCCGGACGAAAACTCGCTATTTGTTTTTGCCCTTGGTCCAATGTAAACTAATAAAATCACAAACGCTTTCGTTCTATCGGTAAAGTCATGTAGGCATGAAATAAATCACGACGTTTCTGGCGCATCACATGCGTCCGTCATCAGTTGTGAAAGCATGGTCTGTTGCTGAGGCAGACTTTTAAAAGGTTTGAAATTGGAGTAGCCCAAGGGTCATTAAGAAGTGTGTCCGGGGCTAGTGATGTTAATGTGAGAAATTAGCATGTAACTGTCAGATAGGAGAGCTGCCTCCTCGACGAGGGCATGGAAGTGGCTATGTTAATGTGAGAGATTAGCATGGTAATGTGAAATCGAAGAGTAGTACAATCCAAAGGCATGAGTGCAACCCAACGGGTGCAATCCAAAGGGCAGGTGAGTATGAGAGTGCAATCCAAAGGAAATGTGAGCATGAGAGTGCAATGCAAAGGACATGTGAGATCTGAGAGAGAGACAGAGAGTCGTAAATAACAGCTGACATAGGCAGGTAGGATGGAAACATCACAGTTAAAACCCTACCTGGTTAATAACGTCCTTCCAATGATTGCTCAGTTTGTACCCATTTTTTTGGTTGAAGGTGTGTCTGTGTTTATATATCTGGTTGGCTTCATGAACAAATCTCTGAAGGTAGGTTTGCAGAGAACCTCCGCCTTGGAAAAATCTAATTCGTGTGAGCCCACAGTGTTAAAACAAAGATCGGCAAACGGCAGAGGTATTTGTCCTGCCGTGTTTCAGATCTGCCTTTTGTTCACGAACGCGGTCTGAGACATGTCGTTTCGTTTCCACACTGTAACTACTGCCGCAACCACAACTCAGTTTGTAGACACCTGGGTATTGCATGTCAGGAATCATCCTTTAGAGATGGGATTAAATCACGGATTTTGTGTACTGTGTTGAAACGAACCTGGATCTTGTTTGTTTAAGATTTTGGAAATCTTTTTGGTAACCCCTGCTATGTATGGAAAAGTGATGGTTTTAGTTGGATCCTCAGAAGGCTGTCTCCGCATGGCTGGGGAGACAGCTTTGAGGATTGTACGATCCGAGTATCTTCATCCTGAGGGCTTCATGTACGTGCTCCAACTCACTGGCTATGTGGTGCTGGTCGGAGATGCAAAGGGCCCTATGGTGTCGTGTTTTGATGAGGGAATTCTTCTGGGCTGGATGGTTGATGGTGGGAGTCAGGCTTTAGATAGGCATCCGTGTGGGTGGCTTTCCTGTAGACCGAATGTCCCAACGAGCCATCAGGTCTCTTCTCGATCAAAACATCCATGAATGGTAGGTTGCCATCTTTTTCCACTTCCATGGTGAATTTGATAGACGGGTGTATGGAATTGATGTGGTTGAGAAATTGGTTCAGTGCTGGCAGGCCATGTGGCCAGGTGACGAATGTGTCATCCACGTATCTCTTCCACAAGGAAGGACGTAGGGTGGATGTCTGCATGGCATCTGTTTCAAATTTCTCCATGAAAACATTTGCTACCACTGGTGTAAAGGGAGAACCCATTGGGGTGCCTTCACTTTGTAGAATGTACCATTCCAGGTGAAGTATGTGTTGGTAAGGCAGTGCCTTACCAAAGTTGGTACATCTGGTTTCCGTCCTTAGTTGGACCAAGTCTTCAATGATTGCAATGGTGTCAAATACAGGTACATTGGTGAACAGAAAGACTACATCGAAACTGACAGGCAAATCATCTGGAGACAGTGAGATGTACTTGATTAGAGAAACCAAGTGAGCTGAGTTTAGTACAGCTGAGGTGGACTTGCCCGTGAAAGGAAGCAGGGTCTCAGAAAGAATTCGGACCAGTTTGTAGGTGAGTGAGTTAATGGTGGAGTCGATGGGATAGAGCGGGGTACCTACTTTATGGATTTTTGGAAGGCCATATAATCTGGGTGGTCAGCAGCCGAAGATTTTAGGGAGCTCTGCTTGGACTGATCGATTAGAGAAGTCGATTTAGTGATGATAGTTGATTTTTTAGCTAGGCGGTTGGTGGGATCTCTGTTGATTTTGATATAGCTGCCATCATTAAGGTCCTGAATTTTGTTGTAAGTGGTTTTATCCATAATGACAGTGGCATTGCCCTTGTTGGCTAAGAGGATGACAATGTCACCTCCGTTTTTTTATTTAGAGAGTTCAAAATGCTCGTTTTGCTGATGTTGCTAATGGGTTTCTTCGCGTATTTCAGGATAGCGATGTCAGATCTAGCAAAGTCTGCCGGGATGTGTCCCAAGCCATTGAGGGCTACTTCGACCTGGGCAATTATATCATCCACTGGGATGTGTTTAGGGGTGACTGAAATTCAACCCATTGGCTCGTACTGATTTTAGACTGTTGGAAATTGGGATGTTACTTTGATTTATGACAATCTTGTTAACATCTAACTTTTTAACGTGTGGCTCCGGCTTCTTTTTTGACAGGAGGTTGAATTTAGCGATCAAGTTAACTTTACATTTGGTTTGACATTGAACTAGCAGAAGAAACTGTCATGTTATCTACATGGTCCCAAACAGAAGTGGACATCTTATCTGTTTATTTTAAGTGTGATTGTAAGAGAGTCTTCTCTAAATTATCAAGTTCAAATCTGGAGCAATCTTATTCTCTCTGAGATTAGCGATAGGCTAGCTTTGAACAAGATCTGTTTAGCGTTAGGAGACATGACAGCAGCAGATGTGAGTGTAAATGCGACCGGTATTGTTATCGCGGCATCTGTTGAGAAAGGTTAGCGACTCAATCAGGTGAGCCTTCTTGTCTCGCAGTCTATTAAAAGCTCTAACAGATGTGTGGAAACCCTCCCCATAGAGATGGTTCAATCTGATTTGAAGCTTTCGTGACTGCAGGAATCCATATTATTTGGTTCTTACGGTAAAGTCACCCATTTCAAACCTTTTAAAACAGTCTGCCTCAGCAGCAGACCATGCTTTCCCACCTGATTACGGACGCTTGTGTTGCGCCCAAAATGTGATTTATTTTATTTTATACCTACGTGACTTTACCGAAAGAACCAAAGAGTATGAATTCTTGCAGTCACGAAAGCTTCAAATAAAATCACACATTGTAACAATGTACGCTGATCATAATGATAACTTTGAGTGTGTGCCAAAGCACGCTTCTGCGCATGCATTTGTAGGGACATCACCGGATGTCACCATACTGTAGTGCAGTACCGGGCTTGGAGGAGTACGGTGTGTGTGTGCCGGCCTGAGGACAAGGTCGGGTGAGCTCATGGCAGCCTGGGTGACCCGAGAGGACACGTGACCGGACGGGTTGACGGGGGCCCCCAGAGGAGGGTGTGAGGGTCACGTGATAGGGACCGAGGTTCCCCGGGAGGGTTCTGGAAGGGCGCGTGGCCAGGGGCGGAGCCCGGCCACGCCGCAGGGGATATAAGCCGAAAGAAATCCTTCGTGTTCGATCTTCGGTCTCCAGTTTTCAGGCACGCGGACCAGGCAGCATGTTGGCGGTCCTGGTCTGAAGTTGTTAGTTATCCCATAACCTGTGTAGTTAGCCGGGGTGGTCACCACCCTAGGTTATTATCTCGTTAAGAGGTAGAGTTACCCCGGTGTGTTAATAAATGCGCTGCCTCCAAGTTTAAGTTTGCGACTCAGTTGAACCCACTGCACATGGAAACGCCAACTCGCCATTGCCCCTAGCAACACAAACAAGCTTTCTGAGTGGCGACGGGAGGGAGGTTCTCCTTCGCGTAAAAAATTACAAAATAAATCAAGCACAGTTGCTGTTGCACAAGCACACGCTGAGGTAAATCCTGAACAGTGTGATGTCCCCCCCACCCCAATGTGCATTTACTTCAATAGTCAGTAGATACTACAATAGTCAGTAGATACTAGCGTAGTCAGTAGATACTACTGCAGTCAGTAGATTCTACTATAGAGACAGTAGATGCTACTGTAGTCAATAGATACTACTATAGAGTCAGTAGATACTGCTGCACATACATAATGTGCATAATGTACGTTGACTCCGTAACCCCCCCCCCCCAGCTTTGCACAAGAGCGTAGTAGCGTGGTGACCACATCTACGCCTCTATATAAGGAACGAAACAGACTTCTCCACAAATCTGACTGTCGCCTGATGATGCTAATTGTAATTACTGGCATGTTTTGTTTAAGTCACAACCCTTATTTGTTGGCTTTGTCGGATGGTGGCGGGTTTTAATGACACATTTATATTTTCACGTGATCTAACCCAAAAAAAACTAATGCATTTGTATATGTTCATGTTGTGTTTTTTTTTACGAGAAGACAAGTTTTGAAATTAATATATATTTCCACCGGGCAAAGTTGAGTACTTCCTCCTAGTGCAGTGGTTCTTCACCTTATTGGAGGTACTGAACCCTGCAAGCTTTATCAGTGCATTCACCGAAACCTTTGTAAGTGGAAAAAAAAAACATGATTTCTTCAAAACGTAAGTATATATTTTATTAGTGCACAAAATTAACCATGCATCAGTTGCACACAAAATCACTGTGTTCAAAGAACAAAACCAACAAACATGAATTTCACGCAAAAACATAACTCAATGAATATTTACTGCAAATCAATGCGACTTTTGCTGTTGCCTTTTAGATACAAGTTCAGAAATGCACGGCTTCACTTTGGCAAGTGCCACTCTTATATCATTTTCGCAACAAAGTCTGTTCCTTTTTTAGTTTTTACGTCTACCATCCTCGAAAAAGATTTCTCGCAAAGATATGTTGTAACAAACGGTGTGAGTATCTCAAGGGCTTTCTTAGCAATAAGATGGTATGGTACGATTTGGTGACACCAAAACGTTGAGAGCGTTGTTGTTCTGAAGAGTTGCTGTTGAAGCTGGCTCTGCTGAAGTTCAATGATTTCCTCAAGGTATTCATCGTTGGCATGTGCTGTCG